CATGGCCTAGGGGGCGTCGCACTTGCCAGTTCGCGCCCAGGTCGTGGGACCTCTCAGGCGAAACGCTGGTTTTGACACCCCCACCCGATGTATTCTCAGAGTCCCAGGATCTTTCCGATGTAGCAGGCATAGGCTAACTTTACCATTTCGACGCACTCGCAGACGGGAGTGCAAGGACCGAAGGTGCCCATGTTGGGATTTCCGCATGGAGTAATGTTGTCCTTGGGGGCGACATGTCCGCGATATCTCTTGTCTGGCCTTGAATCGATAATGTGATTGGCAGCTCTCTTGGGAAGCATGAATTGGTTTGTTCGATTGCTATTGTTCAGGTCCATCAAGATCCCGTATCATGGGACATGTTGTGCAATCGAAGGCGCTCACGGCGAGACACCGCCTATGGCACCAAACGTTGGGCCAAAGTTTTGCCAAGCTAATTGGCAGCGTGTTCCCCAAGCCGTTGAGGAAACCCTTTGGGGAACACTTGCGGGAGGAAAGGAGGAGGAAGCAAATGCCTCCTGGGGGCGTCTTGGGGCCTCTGGCGGGCCCTGTGTGGGCCTCGTGGGGGTTTCTTGGGGGCCTGTGGAGGCCTCTAAGTGCCCCCTTGGCTTTCGGAGGCCGTCTTGGCGGCCCATCAGGGCCGTCGTGGGGTACTCTTTCGGCGGGTTTGGGGCCCTTTGGAGGTCCGTGGAACCGTCTTCGGGCCTTGTTGTGGGCCTCTTGCATGTTGGGTCCCTCTTGGGGTCTTCTGGGGCCGTCTCGGGGCTATCTTGGAAGGAAGCTCGACATGGGGAGTACACGGGGACTTCTACACAATCCCAAGGCTTGTGTGTAAATATCTTAATCTAGCGCGCAGGCTACGATACATGTGTTTACACGTGTATACATATACGTATGTATATGTATACGCAATCATCTATATATATATATATATATATGTATGCATGCATGTCTGTATGTATGTATGCACGTATGTATGTACTGTAATATAGTGCACTGTAGTGTGATGTGATTTGATGTGTTCTGATGTAAGGAAATACAGTGGAATGCAAGGTACTGTAATGCAGTGTTATGTTTGCATGTATGCGTGTAAGGTATTGTAGTGAAATGTCATGTAGTGTAGTGTAGCGTAATGAACTGTATGCATGTGTGTATGTAGGTGTGTATGTTTGTATGTATGCGTGCATGCATGCATGTGTGTATGTCTGTATGTGTGTATGTGTGTAGTCATGTAGGTGTGTATGTATGTGTGTATGTGTGTATGTTCGCAGGTAGATATGTATGTTTGTGTGTGCGTCTGTATGTATGTACGCATGCATGCATACATACATGTATGCATGCATGCATGCATGCATGCATGCATGCATGCTTGTATATATATATATATATATATATATATATGTATGCATGTATGTATGCATGCATGTATGCATGTATGTATGTATGTATGTGGGTATACATACACGTATGTGTAGACATGTCTATCTACATGCATAGGTGTGTGTGTATATATATATATGTGTGTGTACACATCTAGAACTATTGTTCGGCCATCCTCAAAGTCTCCTTGGAGCCCTCGTGTGGCTTTTGGGGGCCTGTTGGGCCGTCAGGAAACATTATTGGGCCGTTTTAGGGCCATCTTGAGTTCGCCGTCTATGAGGTGTCTATGGCAGTCTGGACGGGCGTCTCAGGTGGCCTCTTGGGCCGTCTTTGGGGGCCACTTGAACCGTCTTGGCCGTCTTGCAAGCCTGGTAGGGGCCTCTTGGGGTGCCTTTGGGCGTTCTGGGGAGCCTGTGGGGCCGTCTTGGAGCGCAGGAGGCCCGGAGAGGCGATGACGCTAAAGATATGCAACAATCGAATAATCATTGCTTGTTGTCCTTTGAGGTCCTCTTGGGGGGCCTCTTGGAGCCCTCCAGGGGCGTCCTGGGGGCCCCTTGGGCCGTCTTGAGTCCATCTTGGGCGTCTTGGAGAGCTCTTCTTCTGTCTCGGGGCCCCCTTGGACCGTCCTGCGAATCTTGGGGCCCTCTTGCCTCCAGAGGAGTCGCGCGAGGACAGGCGAGAAGCCACAGGAGGCCCCAGGAGCGCCCAATAGCGCCCAGCATCCGCGGCTGTGGGCCCTTTTGATGTCAACGCAGAGGATTCGAAGGGACCTGGGTATACTCCACCTCATTTCTAGAAGTGCGCATGGATCTTTTACTGTTGGGCGTCTGCTCGAGGATAATTGTTCCTCCTGGGGAATCGTCCAGCTTTGCTTTCCTTCAGGGCCACGCGCGCCGTACTCTTTTATCCTTGAGCTTTGGTGCTGGGGTACCCTCCAGGCGCCTGGAGTCATGGGCGTCATCCTGACGTGGAGCCCCCTTACGCAATCTAGAACAAGCGTCAGACTGGTTCGACGTTGCAACAGGACACCATTAGGAATGGAGGGGTTGGTTGTTTGGCGGCGTGGGATGGATGCTTGACGGGACCAGGAGGTTGATTTAGAATTTCCTTTGGATGTTTCTGAGTTTCCAGTTTCCTGGTGACCCTTCACGTGTATTCACGTTATCCGTAGATGCCCTCGCGATTGCCACGTGATTCGTCGCGTTTTGTTTCTAGGTTTCTCTTGAACTCCAGATAGTTCATGAGGGCAAGCAGCGGGCGGCACTGCCTTAGGGAGCACGTGTCTGAGCCGCATTGGGCTGTCAAGTAATCATCCGCAGGCGGGCTTGTGATCGCCTGGCTTTTGGCAAGCACCCAGCGGCAAGGGAAGCCCTCGTTGCTGAGCGCCCTTCCCTCTTCGCTGTCTTCATCTGGGGCGACTCTCTGGGCCTGGATTTGGGCGCACTCGTGGACGTATGTATAGGTTGCCATCCGTCTTCCCACTTGGACCACCGCGAGGGCTGCTAAGGGGAGAGGATAATACAAGTTGTCGGCAACTATATATATACATATACCATTGTATGCACACGTATATATATGTATATATATATATATATATATATATATAGACGTGTGTGTGTGTGTGTGTTTACATGCATGTATGCACGTCTGTATTTGTGATGTGTACGTATGTACATGGGCTTTCATACCTTACACGTGGGTTTGAAGCGTCCTAAGTGGCTCAGGCGACCAAAGACCTGGGCTAAGTGGGCTCCGCCCACTTCGCGGGCTTATCGAACCCACCCAAGCCACTCAGGTCACTTCTAGCCCACTTATAAGCTAGGTCGCGCTAGATGTAACCCACCTTAGGGTCCAGTTTGACCCTCTTATCCCCTGAGCAACTTCCTCATGTATCCAAGCATGTCCCCGATGTCGTGACTATTGCCACACCGCCGACCACTAGAGGTCTCAACCGCTTCCCCATGGTTGGCTTTTCATCCTGAGGTCTTGTTTGACGGTCCCAGGGCCTTGTGAGGGCCCGGGGAGGCCGCAAACAGTCAAACATCGTTTGTCGCGTTTTTGTTTCCCAGCCCTCCTTGGTTGGGTATTCGTTTTGACTAGAGCACTGCGGGCGAGTCCTTCTTCTCCTCCCCCCGCCTCCCGCTTCCTGCCCTCTCTTCGCCGTCGCTGGGGGGCTGCGATCTGCGAAACTCTCGCCACTTTCGAGGGCTGCTGGTGGGTCCAGCGGAGTGAGGCACCGCGCAGACCTGAGGTAGACCTCGCCGTCCCTGGGGGGGGCTGCGATCTGCGAACCTGTCGCCAATTTCGAGGGCTGCTGGTGGGTCCAGCGGAATGTGGCACCGCGCAGACCTGAGGTAGACCTCGCCGTCCCTTGGTGGGGGCAGCTACGATCTGCGAAGCTGTCGCCACTTTCGAGGGCTGCTGGTGGATCCAGCGGAGTGAGGCACCGCGCAGACCTGAGGTAGACCTCGCCGTCCCTGGGGGGCTGTGGTCTGAGAAATTGTCGCCACTTTCGAGGGCTGCTGGTGGGTCCAGCGGAGTGAGGCACCGCGCAGACCTGAGGTAAACCTCGCTGTCCGTGGGAGGTGGGGGGGCTTCGATCTGCGAAACTCTCGCCACTTTCGAGGGGTGCTGGTGGGTCCAGCGGAGTGAGGCACCGCGCAGACCTGAGGTAGACCTCGCCGTCCCTGGGGGGCTTCGATCTGCGAAGCTGTCGCCACTTTCGAGGGCTGCTGGTGGGTCCAGCGGAGTGAGGCACCGCGCAGACCTGAGGTAGACCTCGCCGTCCCTGCGGGGGGGGGGGGCTGCGATCTGCGAAGCTGTCGCCACTTTCGAGGGATGCTGGTGGGTCCAGCGGAGTGAGGCACCGCGCAGACCTGAGGTAGACCTCGCCGTCCCTGGGGGGCTTCGATCTGCGAAGCTGTCGCCACTTTCGAGGGCTGCTGGTGGGTCCAGCGGAGTGAGGCACCGCGCAGATCTGAGGTAGACCTCGCCGTCCCCTGGGGGGCGGCTACGATCTGCGAACCTGTCGCCACTTTCGAGTGCTGCTGGCGGGTCCAGCGGAGTGAGGCACCGCGCAGACCTGAGGTAGACCTCGCCGTCCCTGGGGGGGGGCTTCGATCTGCGAAACTCTCGCCACTTTCGAGGTGTGCTGGTGGGTCCAGCGGAGTGAGGCACCGCGCAGACCTGAGGTAGACCTCGCCGTCCCTTGGGGGGGGGGGGGGCTGCGATCTGCGAAGCTGTCGCCACTTTCGAGGGCTGCTGGTGGGTCCAGCGGATTGAGGCACTACGCGGCCCTGGGCGGGACCTCGCCGTCCCTGGGGGGCCATGTCATGTTGCTGTTGCTGCCCCGCCGACGTTTCCAGCCCCTTGCCCACAGTCTCCTTTTGGACTTTGCGTCCTCAGTGACTCAGGGGTTCACCTCACTCATCGTTTTTCCCTTGATTGTGGACCTGCGAACCTTCCGAATGCCGCTCGCAGAAGTAAGTGCGTCCATGTCACGTCGCCGCCTTCTCGTCAAATCTCCCACGCTACTCCTGCCCCGCATTGCGTAGGGGTTGGGTACGTCGCCAGGGTAATTTTCCTCCGCAGAACGTCCCATCCTCCTCCACCGTTGAACCCTCTTGGCTGAGGCCGCGCAGCGCGAGGTGCGCGCGCGCGCCTTCCGCGCGCCCCTGCGCCGCGGGTGGCGCATCCGCGGCCCGCCGCGCTGGCCAATGTAGGGTCAGCCTCCTCCGTGACCCAGTGATGCCCCTCAGGGTGGGTGACATCCGCAAGGACGAGGACACGTTCGGTGAGCCACAAGCGGTTTGGCGATCACACCGTGCGGTGAGTCAATGGGGAGCGGGAGTCGCCGCACGGTTTTGGGACGTGCGTCGTTCTCCGGTGACGTCTCGGGCGAGTGGGACCTTCGGGGTCCCAAAACCGTTCGTTGACGCCCTGGGCGGTGAGTTCTTTCGCGATTTCGAGGTCACCGCACGGTCCGTCACCGCCCCGTTGGGGGATCCCCCAGGACAGGCTCCTGCGCGACGACAACCACTCGCTGGGCCACCTCTTCAGGCAGCGGGAGCGCACGCCGCTGCGGCTCAGCTGGGCCCTGCGCCTTTCGCTGCAGGTCGAGGCCATCTTCTTGCTGGTGCTGCTGACGGTCTTCCTGCCCCGCTGGGACCTGCGCCTCCTCTGCCTGGCCGCCGCCGCCGCCATCGCGGGCGTGTGGGTCGCCACCGTCGCCGCGCTGGCCGCCGGGGCCGTCAAGGGCAAGCTGCACTCCAGGGCGCACAGGCCCCCGATGTTGTTCTGGTCCTGGTGGCCCGTGTGGATGTGCCTCATGTGCTGCGCCGCGGCTGCCGCGGCGGGGGCCCTGTGTTTCTACCTGTGGGGCGCGTACCTGAGCACCTACCAGCACCTCGCGGGCCTCGAAGTCTACGAGCGCGTGGACCCGTCCATCGTGCCGGGGCTGCAGATCCAGGACGCTGGCCTCGTGGACTTCGAAGAGGGCGTCGACATCGACCGGGCGAGGGGGGGCTGCCTGGTGCACGGCGGCCACACCTACTGTGTGGCCCCCATCCTGCATGGCGGCAGGGTGCTCGACAACCTCGGCGATGCGCCCCGCTTCGGCTCGTACGACTACTTCGCGGTGGGCGTGGACTGCTGCGCGTGCCCCAACCGGGACTTCCGGTGCGGGGACTGGCGCAACCCGATGGCCCACGGTGGCGTCCGGTCCAGGGACGCCGAGAGCAGGCCCTTCTACAGGCTCGCGGTGGACGAGTGGGCCGCCACGTACGAGAAGAAGCTCGGCTACCCGATCTTCTTCGACTGGGTGGACGACCCCGTCTATCTCGATGGCCCTCCGCACGTGTGCCAGCCCGGTGTGTGCTTGGCCCGCTCGGCGTCAGGGACAGCACGCAGCCTGCGCTGGCTCTCGGTACACCGCCTGCGTCGTATTGAAGGGCTTCGGTGGTGGACAAGCACACGTTGGCGCGGACACGCGTCCTGAGGCTCGTCGACTATCGCTGGAGCGCCCTGTGGAGCCGCGCCGCGCACCTCGCCGGCCTCTGCGCCCTCGTGCCCTTCGCTGCGGCCTTCCTGCTGACGATGGCGCTGAGCGTTTGGCTCGAGTCCCTGGTGCAGGCCGGCGTGGCGCCGCCGACCCAGTGCCAGCGGAGCTCGCGATCGGCGCGGCAGCCATCGCGATCAGGGCTGCGCGATCGGATCACGCGATCGGGTGGCGTGATCGGCCGAGTGATCAGCCAGACACGATGGGCAAATCTTCCACCACCACGACCATATGTAGGACGGGGGAGAAGGGAGGATAAGGAGGTCCTCCTCCTCCTCCTGCTCCTCCTCCTCCTCCTCCTCCTCCTCCTCCTCCTCCTCCTCCTCCTCCCTCTCCTACCTATGGTAGTGGTGGTGGAAGATGGGCCCATCAAGACGCTAAGGTCGCCGAACGGCACGCCTGCCCCGCCGCACGGCTACGAGCGGCTCTGGGAGGCGCTGCTGGCCCAGATGTACCACTACCACTTGGACGAACAGCGCCAGCAGCTGGGTGTCCCTGGCCCCTCCCCGTGGTACGGCACGCCCCACGTCGGCGGAGAGCACGTGCCCGACAGCGCCAAGATCACGAGGGGCGCGACCCCGAAGCCTGGCGTCAAATTCGTCTGAGCCCGCTTCAGCGGCCGTGCGTCGGCGGGCGGGATGCTGCAGACAGGAGTCCTGCTCATCCTCCAGGCCCCTCCGCCCTCCGCTTCACTCCTTTCTTTCTTTCTATATGGATCTCTCTCTCTCTCTCTATCTAAGAAGAAGATTACTCATCCGAGTAAAAAGCATAATAATGATAACCGACACATTAAGACTACATGTTATACAAAAAGGAATCGAAGACTCCTGCGGCGCCACCGCCCCCTGTCAGTTTGGAAACGCCTATGTGGCCGAACGTTGTGGCCATGGCTGGTCCAATCTACTGGACTTGCCACTAAGAGTAAGAATACTACTAGAAATAATGGAACTACTGGTAATAAGCATAAACTACAGTCAAGCATACGAATATTATGAATACGAGGAGAAGGAGGAAAGCAGAGCAGGCTTTGCGGAAGCCAATTCGGGCATTCTTGGAGTCTCCTGGAAATTTCCTGGGGCCTCTTGAACGAGGAGGACGAGGTGGAGGAGGAGGAGGAGGAGGAGGAGGAGGAGGATAAAGGAGGAAGGAACAAAACATGAGTAGGCGGAGGACGAGGAGGACGAGGAGGAGGAGGAAAAGCAGGAGGAGGCGGAGGAGGAGGAGGACGAGGAGGAGGAGGAGCAGGAGGAGGAGCAGCAGGAGGAGGAGCACCAGGAGGAGGAAGAGGAGGAGGAGGAGGAGGAGGAGGAGGAAACCTGCCCTCACGCCAGCGCGCCCTCCCGCTCAGCCGCGGCCGCCGGCGAGGGGGGCGGGGGGTGCGGGCGCCGCGGCGGGCAGTGGCGCCGCCGGGCCTGCAGAGAGGCGGCCGGGGCGGCCGGGGGCGGCTGGGGAGTGCGCGGCGACCGCGCCAGCGATCACGACGACGACTACGGCGAGGACCACGGCCGCAGCGACGACCACGACAACCGTGAGGAGGAGGAGGAGGAGGAGGAGGAGGAGGAGGAGGAGGAGGAAGGAGGAGGAGGAGGAGGAGGAGGAGGAGGAGGAGGGGAGGGAGAGGAGGAGGAGGAGGAGGAGGAGGAGGAGGAGGAGGAGGAGGAGGAGGAGGAGGAGGAGGAGGAGGAGGAGGGAGGGAGGAGGCGAAGGGGGAAGTAGGGTGGGGGGGTGGGGAGGGGAGGGGGAAGCGGGGGGGTCGACGCGAGGTGGGGAGTAGGGGCGAGGGCGAGGGGCTCGGCAGGAGGAGGAGGAGGAGGAGGAGGAGGAGACGGGTCGGGCCACAGCTGACATCCTGCCCGTCGCAGCCCAGTCTCTTCTCACTGCGCTGATTTTTTCTTTGCCCTCGGCGGGTAACACAGCGGACCTGGAACCCGCAAAAGGACATGATTGCGTGCACTCAGTCAAGGGGAGATGTGGGCATTGGATGAGGAGGAGTAAGAGGAGGTGGCGGATGAGAAGGAGGACGAGGAGGAGTAAGGGAAGAAGGGGACGAGGAGGAACAGCAGCAGGAGCAGGAGCAGGAGCAGGAGCAGGAGCGAGAGGAGCGGGAGGGGCAGGATAACCAGGACAATGCGGATGAGGGGAAATGAGCGGGGAGGCGACGGGGAGGAAGGAGCCGGACCCAGAAAGTTGGCCCGCCTCCAGTCCGAGTTTCTTGCCCTCTTCTCTCGCTCGGGCCGCTCGCCCATTCAATGGCTGGCTTCACGCACGATGCCGTCGGAAAGGCACACTTGCAAGCCCAAATCATCCAAGACAGTCCGACGCCGGTCAGCAAGTGGTGGGGTGTACCGGGAGCGAACTGCGGCGCGGAGGCGCAAGGGGGACCGAACGCGATCGGAAAGTGAGCACAGAAAAGGTGTTGATGAACGGGTCCTTGCGCAGGATCTGCGCTTATTATGGACTTGTTCTCCTCCTCCTCCTCGCTGCCCAGGCCTCGTTCGGGGTTGGCGGTGAGGCTCCAACTGTCTACACCCCACAGGAGCCCTTCCTCTTCTCCTCCATCCCACAGCCGTCGTCTGGTCTTAACTTCCTTCGGTGCCACCCCAACATGGGTATACTACATATTCGGGTCGGACGCGAGCCTCCAAGGAGAACATATAGTATTAGTATGTCTCTGTGCGTCCCATTCCTCCCCACCCGCCTCGATCCCCGACGACGAGGCCAGGGAGGGAGCAAGGGCGATGGCCCCCAGTGGCCCGATCCAGCATCTAGCCCCACGACTGTGATGAAGTCGAGCGGGGGCGGCTGCGCAGCTGGAGAGGTGGCGGAGGTCGACTTTTGACGTAAGAGTGGCCTTTCGCCAGAGCGGCCTGCGGTGCGGGCCCCATGGGGATCGTCCCGATCGCGGAGCGCGGAGCGGCGGCAGCGGCTTGCGCGCCCAGGTCGGGCCACCCCAGGGCTGGACCTAAACGGCGTTTGGCGATTGAAGACAAAACGAGGGAAAACGAAAGCAAAACGAAAACAAAAAACACCGTTTAGGCTATCCCCGCCTCTCAGGAGATGCGTTGAGGAGGATGCAACCTGGTCGAAAACTGGCCTAATCTGGGTGGATCTTGCTTGATCGGGCTGATCCCCATTTCAGCCGGCCTAGTCCCGCGCAGTCCGGCTTAATCTCCGGCTTGATCAGGCGTGATCCAGCTCTCAAAGGCCGCCTTGATGACGAAAACCTCTGGGGAGTTGCCTCCTAAAATGTCTTTGTGTGT